GAAACGTCTGAACCTCGTCTGTGCATGGAATGGGGACCAGTTGGTGAAGATCACATTAACAGCTTTGGGGGTTTTTTTTTGGGGGGGGGCATATTTTCTACTTTGTCTTACTGTAGAAGAGCATGAAAAGTTACTTTAGAAGCATTATAGGTTGTTCAAAGTCTTAGAGAGTTATTTCCTGTTCTTAGAATGTAGCAAAAAAAATTCACCATAAGGGGTTACAGCTGTGTTCACTAATTCTGTTACAGAGATGCTTTTTCACAAAGTTGAGCTAAACAAAAAATCTGGCAATCTTTTGTTACTATTTGCAGTACTTTGCTGCAGAGACAAGGCAGAGCTCAGGTACACTGCTCCAGATCTATTGAACAAATAGAGGAGGCACAACTCAAGAAAAGTCTTTTTTTCATTGTACCTTAGCTGTAAAAGATGTCATAAGAGAAATGCAGTGGGGAAAAACTCCCTCTGAACATTGCTGTCAGAAGTCTGCATTAGCATTAATTTGTGATTGCTGATGTGAAAAAGAGCGAAAATGGTTTGTGTATAAGAATTTTCACCCTGCATGTGTAACCACCAAGGTGGTCTGGTATTGGAGGGGCGGAAAAAAAAAAAAGTCATTCAGGCAGATCTTAGAGGGAGGAGAATGGTTTCTTCAATGTGGAAAACAACCTAATTTACATCTTACCAGTTAGGGGATAAGTATGAAGCTTTCTGCTATTGCTAGAAGCAGCTGTGATACCTTACTTGTTTCTAGATTGTTGAAAACCATTGAGAAGATAACACAGAAAACTTGAATTATGCCTCAGACTTTTGTTTATTAGATGCAGAAGGACAAAACTCTGAACAGCAATGCAGTAAAACAATTTCAGCATTGGTTAAGTTTCAATTTGCAGTTGTTCACTAGGAATAGTTTGAGAATTCATTCAACATAGAATTTTTTAAGCTACCACAGTTACCTCAAATACAGAAGAACAATTTACAGAAACTAAAGAATCTGCTTTAACTTCTGTGCTTTGTAATCTGTGTGTATTTTGAGCATTACTCAGAAGTTCTTTATTTGCTATAGAAGCTTTATTACCAAAGGAAATACATTTGAACAAATGAACTTGCTGACACGAGAAGGGAATGCTCTTCAAAACACTGGGAACAGAGCATAAGGGTAAACACATTAAAAGAAAATAAATGGGTCAGTTGAAGTGCCTTTAAATAAATGTGATCCACATGTTATTATTAATCTCTAAATCATATGCCAAGATCCTCAAGCCCCAAATTAACTGGTTTGCTTAATGAACTCAAAACAGAAGCCATACGTCATATTATATTATTTGAGCAGCACAAGTCTTACTGAGATGACTTTTGTTCTTCATTAAGCTGAAATAACTGGCATCAGAAAACCAGAGACAGTTCCAGCATGGGATGAAGTTCCAGCATGGGATGAGTGGCCTCTCTTGTAACTCGGTTATTCTTTGGTGCAGTAAGGTTGTCCTCTTCCACCTCAAGCTTCAGGTGATTCTCCTGAATATCAGTTTTAATGCCAGCACTGGCACTCACAAATCTCTCTTTGAATGCTGTGACATTAAGAGTACTGGGTACTCTTAACTTGCATACATTTCTCCTTCTAGCCTGTTCATTCCTTTTTCTATTAGAGGCTGTTTTTCTTGTTGCAGCTTTCCTGAAGAAGAAAAGGATCAGAATGATGTGTTAGTATTGCTTTAAAAATTAAAATGGAGTTTAAAGGTTGTCTACATGCAGCAAGTATGTGTCATATCCAAAAGTTATCAAAAGTAATCTTTGATCTAACTGTTGGAGAAAAACATTAAAAGCTAAGTATGGACTTTTTTAGAGGAAGGCCAGCTTTGATCAACAGCACCATTGATGAAATCCAGTAGTCTCTGCAATCCAATTAGTGAACAGATGTGATAAAATTAATCTACTATATTCAGTATAAACAGACTTAGTATTTGGGGCATGATGAGAACTACTGACTGATCAGCACTTGGTTAGTGAAGAAGCAAGCTGACATAACCATAACGTGTCACAGATCGAACAGGTTTTACTGCTGAGAGGGTCAAGAATGATGACATGTACAGGAACACTAATCACTTTGTTATATAAATACATTTGGTTCCAGAAGCATCATAGGCTATTTATAAAATTGGGACTGTAGAAAGCACTGTAGGAGATATCTTTTCCAAAAATTCTTACCCATGTTTTCCTCCAGTCTTGCATCATCTTGTCATGTTCACTGATGGCACTTCTCCAGGTATCAAATTCTTTGGTCCATCCATCCTGACCAGCACTACCTGAGAAATGTACATGGGATGATTATGTAAAAGTACATAATGATGAAGTAAGTTGATAGCTGTTCAGTTGCAGTTACTTCCTGTGGAGGATTGGGCTAGAAGGAACAAAGGCTACCATCTTGTCCTTCATTTTGCTCTACCTGCTCTTACATTATTTGGAAGTAAATTCTGTTGAAATGGTCATGTCTCATCCCTTCTGCAGCAAACTATAGCCTTCAGAGTAAACAGAGTCAGTGCCTTTATCTGCGATTCAAGATCTACAAAATGCAGCCTACAAGTTAAGAGTTCAAACCCATCTAAGAAGCACAGGAATGCTCCAGTTAGGTCATACGAAGCCTGAGGAGTAGAATGATATGATACAGCTGACTATGTCCAGTTTGTAATTTCCCTATTTTTTTGCTAATGTTATGTAGTTACTCTTCATTCTGAGAACTTAAAAAGGGCTATTTTATTGCATCTTGATAAAATTCTAGTAATTCTGTCTGCCAGCTTTTCTTGTACAGTGCAACAGTATATCATGCTTTTGGACCACAGCAAAAGCCTCCCTCTGTTTTATTTACATTTAGAGTGGTTTCACTGAGATGCTCTTCATTTTGCTTCCAAGACAGACTTCAAAGTAACTGGAGTGATGGCAAGACAGCTTGTGTAACTCCTGTTGCTTTTCTCTGGCATGGAAAAAAGGTTTGAGCTGTTCTTGACAAATTCATGTTTGTTATTAACAAGCTAATGAATTTTTCCTTCACCCTGCCAAGAAAATCCTTACTGTATCATCTTCATTGCTCCTGCTGTCTTTTTAAAGACTGTTCAGACCTTTTCCAGGCCTGGATAAGTTCTCAAAAGCTAGTTGTAAATGATGCTTAAGTTGCACCCAGAGGTCCTACCTAGGTAGTGTCCTGATGAAGAGGTAGGAGATGACCTTACCCAACCACAGGTGGTTTACAAATCATCTGATTTTTAAAAATCCTGGGTGGTGGGGGGTTCTCTTTACCATCCGCTTCCTTGGCATTAAAGAATTTTTCTGCATTACCCTGTAGAATTCTGGCAGAGTACCTATTTTTAACTCTCTAGTAACTCATCTCATTTCCAATTTGTGTCCATTAGTT